AAATTTTGTTATTATGAATATTTTTAATTTTATATTTTTTTTAAAATGTTTTATAAACCTAACTTTAAAAATATGGTTACTTTAAAAAATATTTAAAAAGATTTTTAATGATATTAAAATTTTGTTAGTCTAGTTATATATATGATTTGTTAGATTAGGTTTGTTAAATTAGGAGTTTAAATAATAGATCAGCCTTTTTTTGGAAACAAAAATGAGGAGTTTAAATGATCGTTTCTTTCTTTAGTTGTATTAGACATTTTTATAAATTTATTTTTATATATATATATATATATATATATATATATATATATCTTTTGAATATTTTTTTTTAAATATTTATTTTATCTAATTAAAAAAAAATTTCCTGAAAATTCTCAATAAGTTTTTGATAGAAATTTTCAACTAATTTCTTGTGGATAACCCCCCCCCCCCCTTCTTCCCCCGAAATTCCCGATAGAAATATTTATAGAGAATTTATGTTGTATGCACATTTTTCCGTAAATTGATCTAACGAAACCGTTTTCATCGTAAACCTGTTGAGAGTGGCCTTTTCCGGATTCTAAATAAATGTGTCCGTTTGTTCTCCTATACTAGGCGTGTGGCTACATAGCTGGACTCAAAATCAGTCAAGGACTGAATGGTTTATAATCCAGTAGCTGAACCAACGAGGCCACCTCAACTAAACCGACTCGGTTCCATATGGATTCAACAATATTAGAGGCTGAATTGTCACGTGATGAATCCATCTAGAGAAAAGATGTCTATCACAAAACCTGTCTCGGTACCAGAAATCTGGTTTAGGTACTCTTATGCCCTCACTCAAGAGAATCTCTTTAATAACGAAGATTATATGAATAAGATTATCTGAACTTTTGCGTCAAGTAATAAACCATCCAAAACCCCTTATGTTTGCATGTAATACATGAAAACGATAGATCAACAAAACATGGCAAGGGAGGTGGTTTTGGAAACTCTTGCCAAGCCCTCGAACAGTGAAATGCGACTTTATGCGGTCACCAAACTGTAGGAGTGTTTCCAATTGGAACATAAAGTTCACTTAATAATATTTGTGATCACATATGAAATGTTTTAGTAATTGTAATGGTCCATCTGAGGAGTTGTAAGAGCACATTTCAGAACTTTTAATTAGGATAGGATTCTCCATAAAATAATAGTTCTCACATCTCTATACACATATAATATATACATATACAAGTTTAGAATTCAAATGGATAGAACTCCATTGAAATTGCTTTAAGTTCTAACACTGAGGTGTGTGGTGTATAGAGGTGTCAATTGGTCATGCCGTCCACCAGTCCAATTTAGTTTGGATGGGTTATAGACATCTAATCTATTAAAATATAAGTATAAATTTAAAATAATTCTTACACTTGCATAATATTTACAATCCAATGTCACTAAAAATTAAATAAACCTACATATAAATAATCATTGTCTTTTCCTATTTTTTAAAAAAAAATATTTTTTAAATCACTTTTAACTAAATTTTTCTAATCAATATATTTCCTAAATTGATTTAGCTAAAATTTAGGAAAATTCAAATTTAAAAACGTTGTTAATTATATAATATAATATTTCTCAAGTATCATATACTTTACACATTTATTTTATAAAGTTTGAAATATATGTATTTTAAATGTTTTAAAATATATGTTTAACCATTACCATTAATTATTCAAAAAATAAAATATATTTATGCTACTATTTAACTATTTTTGAATTACTTGTAGAATAATATGGATTGTTTATAATCAAATATTCATTTTAATATATCTAAATGTTTCCTAAAATATATATATATATATATATATATATATATATATTTCACAAATTTATAAAATATATTTTTATTCATTCAGTTACTGTTAATTAGTTTTCAACGATAAATTTATCTATATAAGGTTTTAAAATATCATAAAATTACTTGTTGAATAATATTTAATGTTTACAATGGAATATTTCTTATATTATGTATCTAAATCGCGACATATGATCCATATACAATCAAAATATTTAGAATATTATATAGTTGGAAAACAATTTCATGTTAAAAAGACATTCTCAAACATATCAATTGTTTAATGTTAGTCAAAAATTTAATATAGCACACAGATCAATATTTATTTTCAACATATAAACTATTTCACTATGAGGTTTATAAAACTTTAAAATATGATAAATATTTAAAATATTAACTAATAAATATTTAAATAATATTTTATATATAAAAGTGAAAATAAATACCTGCACGGGTGTGCGGATCAAGCTCTAGTACCCAATTAAGACAAAAGACTAATTGGTCTATGGTCTAACTGAGTGTTCATGGGCCTCATAAAAATATATTTTCATCATTTGAACAAAAAATATAGTTTTACAATTTACTGAGAAAACACCATTTTGTGAAAAATTAAAGCTTTGTGATAAAAATAATTTATCGGTTTTGGCAGAAAACATGATTTCTCGGTTTTGGCGGGAAAACATGATTTCTCAATTTGCCGGTGATTTCTCGATTTTGGCGGGGAAACTCGATTTCTTGACTTTGACAGGAAAACGCAATTTCTCGATTTGGCAGAACAATGCGATTTTCTGGGTTCGGCGGAAAAACACGATTTTCGATTTTTGGGGGGAGGGACGTGATTTTTTCGGTTTTGGCGAAAAAACGTAATTTTCGGTTTTGGCGGAAAAACAAGATTTCTTGGTTTTGTGAGAAAACATGATTTTTGATTTTGACGGAAAAATGTAATTTTCAGTTTTAGCTGAAAAACATGATTTTTCGATTTTGGCGGGAAAAGTGATTATTTTAGTTTTGGTGGAAAAACTTAATTTTCGGTTTTGGCGAGAAAATAAAATTTCTTGGTTTTGGTAAGAAAACGTGATTTTTGATTTTGATGGAAAATGTAATTTTTCAATCTTAGCGGAAATACATGATTTTTTCGTTTTGACGGAAAAACGTGATTTTCGATTTTGGTAGAAAAACATGATTTTATAGTTTAAGCTAATAACTGAAAAATAACTATAAATATTAATGGGTGTCCATGAGTATGCCCATTTAGACACGATCTCTATTGATCATAGACATTTGTTTGGACCATTGTCCAATATGAACCACCCATTACCATCCAAAACCGAAATAGTCTAATTGGACTTGAATGGGCTATGGACGGTCTATTTGACAGCTCTAATAGTGTAGACTGTAGGCCTACATGCATCAGCGCGCTAATTATTATTTTTATTTTTTTGACAAAGCCGGCTAACTAATTTTAAGACTATAATCCTAATACTTATCGTGACAGCTTCATACTCTTGGTATTTCCCTGTTAATATTAAATCTTAGATTAATATTTAAGTTCTACAGATAAACAAACATTTGTTTTAAAAGAATACACCGCACGAAATATGGGTTTATATTTTATGTTATGAATACAAAATCATTAGACAGCGTTCTTTACGTGCGAGGCAGTCTGTAGATTTTATATGTGTGACATCCTCTCATGATTTCATGCTTTTTATTTTATATTATTTAAAAATATATGTTTTATTTGTAGCAAAATAAATAGCTGTAGAATGAGTTGTTGCCATGTAGTTCTTGTTTAGATTGATTTTTAATATAAAAATAATAATTTCACATTCATGACTTGGATCCGAATTATATGTAAACCAGATGTCTAGAAAGCGTTAGTGTTGCACAACTTGTGAAAAACATTCTCGTACTCTTACTATAAAGACATGAACAATTTGAACAAACAGACAAAAAGTTGGTTTTCAGTCTTTCAGATTGGTCACGCTTGAAAAAAAAAAATTGCATGGATACCTAGAAGTTTAATTTAAACTCTTACAAGCTGATGTGTTATAAATAAAATAACTGTTAATTTCTCGATAATTGGTAAACTTTTTTACTCGAGAACGAGTTAATGACATGCTATATCCTATATTACGAGTTAAGGGATCACGATATGTTTTTTCTTAGGACTTTCTTAACTATTAACAGAAAAAGAAACAAATGTTAATACTTTTCGACAAATGACAACATTGCTTGACTGCTTTCCCGTTTTCTTTTCTGCCTTGCAATCTTTTTTTCTTACAAATCTCTAATCTTCTGACCAATGATTTTCATTTGCATGAACAATCTGTCTTGCAACCTTAGTACTAATTAGGTTGGTAGTTTTGCATGTAATTGACACGATTATGATTTCACATTTATAGGAGTTACACCGCTTGTTTAGATTATCGAACCATTTTGATTTATAATCTCATCATGTTCACAAAAAAGGAACAAAATTGACATCATACTCGAGTGAGAAGATTATAGTTAAACAGTTACCCAAACAAGAAGACAAAACTCTAGTTGGAAAGAATCAATCTTTTTTTTGTTTAATCCCAAACCTATTACATAGGTGTTGATAACATGGTGTCATGATTTGACAAAAACTACTTTAACTATTTTATGGATGCCCCTGATTAACCCTTTTCTTTTTAATAAGAACCTGATCAGCTCTTCTATTACATATATTATCTTGCTCATCCAAAATATTCCACTTTTTTCCTCAAACAAAAACAAACATATGATTATCATCCTTTGTCCTTAAATTTAGAAGTGATTAATATGAGATGTCAAAGCATAACTCGTCTCTCTTGTGTCTTACATATAATAAGCAGCCTATCAAGGTTGTTACAAAATGAAAGAACCTTACTAAAGAATATCCTTCCTTCCATAAAGAAGTTTGAAAATCGAATAAGAAAGAATATGATTTAACTAGTAATTAAAAAAAAAATAAAGTTGTTGATTAAGTTGGGTTTAAAATTCGGATGTGCGATCTTTTGAGAAGCAAAAGACGGCCGTTTTAGAGAAAGAGAAGGGGACCCACTAAAAAAATATCGAAGAAGTAGCTGTCTTAACAGCTCCGACCAGACTGTTTCTCTTTTGCTCTCATAGAACATCTCCTCCATTTTCTCTCTTTTTAATTATAAAAACCTCCTCTCTTTTCTCTTCGCTCTCAACATTCTACTTCGCTCTCTCTCTTTCTTTGATCATTGACAAGTTCGAACCGGTCATGGCTCAAGAAGAGATACAGAAGCCTGCCGCTTCAACCACCACTGCTCCTGTTCCGACAAAGGAGGAAACTCCTGTTGTGCCTCCAGTTAAGGAGGTTTCTGCACCTGTTATTACGGAGAAATCAGTGACAGCGCCTGCCCCTGAGTCCAAGGAGGAGAATATTGTGTCTGAGAAAGAGGCGGCGCCGGTTACGGTGACGGAACCGGAGGTTAAGGTGGAGGAACCGGAGGTTAAGGTGGAGGAACCAGAGGTGACAGCGGAGACGGTGGAAGAGATTGAGACGGGAAAAGTGATCACGCATACGGAATCGTTTAAGGAGGAAGGCTATTTGGCTTCAGAATTGACCGAAGCTGAGAAGGATGCGTTGGCAGAGTTTAAGGAGATGGTGAGGGAAGCTTTGAACAAGCATGAGTTCACCGCTCCACCGCCACCTCCGGCAGTAGAAGAGAAAGTCGAGGAAAAGAAGGAAGTGAAAACAGGGGATGTTGAAACAGAGGAAAAGTCTGCTGCTCCGACAACCGTAGAGACCAAGAAGGAGGAAAACGCCGCCATTCCTGCCGTCGCAAAGATCACCAAGGAAGAAGAGAAACCGGTTGCTCCTACTCCGGTCGAAACAGTGACAAAGAAGGAAGAGACACCTGCTCCGGCTGCCCCGGTCATCACAGAAGCGAAGAAAGAGGAGACACCCGCTCCAGTAGAGACCAAAGCAGCTGCTCCGGTCACCACTGAAATCAAGAAGGAAGAGAAACCGGCTCCAGTGGAGACCAAAGCGGCTGCTCCGGTCACCACTGAGACCAAGAAGGAAGAGACACCGGCTCCAGTGGAGACCAAAGCTGCTGCTCCGGTCACCACTGAGACCAAGAAGGAAGAGAAACCGGCTCCAGTGGAGACCAAAGCGGCTGCTCCAGTCACCACTGAGACCAAGAAGGAAGAGACACCGTCTCCAGTGGAGACCAAAGCTGCTGCTCCGGTCACCACTGAGACCAAGAAGGAAGAGAAACCGGCTCCTGTTGAGACCAAAGCGGCTGCTCCAGTCGTCCTCGAGACCAAGAAGGAAGAAGAGAAAGGAGCCACCTCTGCGCCTGTAGAGACCAAACCAGCTACTCCGGTCACCACCGAGCTAAAGAAAGAAGAAGCAGTGGTAACAATCGAGAAGGCTTTCGCAGCTGAACAAGAAGAAGCAACCAAAACTGTGGAAGCAATCGAAGAATCGGTCGTCTCCATCACTCTTCCAGAGACAGCTGTCTCAGTAGAGCCAGAAGAAGTCTCAATCTGGGGAATTCCACTTCTCGAGGACGAAAGATCTGACGTGATCCTCCTCAAGTTCCTCCGAGCTCGTGACCTCAAGGTCAAAGAAGCCTTCACCATGCTGAAAAACACTGTCCAGTGGCGCAAAGAAAACAACATCGACGACCTCCTGGCTGAAGATCTCCAAGGGACCGAGTTCGAGAAGATGGTGTTCACCCACGGAGTTGACAAGCAAGGACACGTTGTGATCTACAGCTCGTACGGTGAGTTCCAGAACAAGGAGATTTTCTCAGACAAAGAGAAGTTCAACAAGTTCCTCAAGTGGAGGATTCAGTTCCAAGAAAAGTGTGTGAGGTCTCTTGACTTTAGCCCTGAGGCTAAGTCATCGTTCGTATTCGTTAGTGACTTCAGGAACGCGCCAGGGCTCGGTAAGAGATCATTGTGGCAGTTTATCAGACGTGCTGTTAAGCAATTCGAAGACAATTATCCAGAATTTGTTGCTAAAGAGGTAAAGATGTCAATATTTTCATCATGATTACAATTATCCAGGGCATCTGGTTTTGGATATGTTTTAAAAGTTTAGGATCCGTTCAGATATTTAGAAATTTCGGTTTAGTTTCGATTTGGTTATTTCAGAATTCGATTCGATTCGGTTAGTAGAACCGGCGAATAGCCGAGGTAATTTCATATTCAATCTGGCTCCAGTTTTTAGGTTCATTTGGGTCGGGCATTCAAAAAGTTAATTCGGGTTAAGAAGTTAAAAAATAGGGTTTTGAATTAAATATCAGATTTTGGAGTTTTTGAATTAAAAAATGGATAATTTGAATAATTGTGAATATTTCAGATAAAAATATTCTACTAATTCAATTTAGGTATTTTGGTTTATAAATAATATTTTAAAATTATTATTTTAAACTAAATATAGTTAATGTTTATAAGCATATACACTAGATTATAAAAATTTGAGTACCTATTCAATTATCGGTACAGTTCTGGTTTGGTTTCAATTTTTTGGTTCTAGATATGAAATTCGCTTGGATAATTTATAGGATCTAAACCCAAACTGAACCTCATTTTTGGTCCGGTTCTTCGGTTCTGGATAAATGTGTCCATACCTGATTACAATTAAAATTTTAAATCTTACTACATATTTTGGGGTATATATCAGCTGTTCATTAATGTCCCATGGTGGTACATTCCTTACTACAAAACATTCGGGAATATCATTATATCTCCGAGGACAAGGAGCAAAATGGTCCTTGCTGGTCCAGCCAAATCTGCTGAAACCATATTCAAGTAAATTATGTTTCATTGATTCTTCTGTACCATGTTAAATCAGTGTCTCTCTTCACACTAAGCCTTGTATCCTCTATTTTTGGATGAAACAGATACATAGCTCCTGAAGTAGTCCCGGTTAAATATGGTGGACTCAGCAAAGAAAGCCCATTCACCGTTGAAGATGGAGTCACCGAGGCCGTAGTTAAATCCTTAGGCAAACATACCATTGAATTGCCTGCTTCCGAGGTACGTCTTATGTCAGTTGTTTATTTGTGTTTGCATTATAGTTTAGTTTTACATTTAATGTATATTTCAGATTGTATATGTATTGATAATTTATTTTGTGGATTGTATTGCTACTTCTAGGGTTGCACGCTCTCGTGGGAGCTTAGGGTTTTGGGTGCCGACGTGAGCTATGGTGCTCAATTTGAGCCAACCAGCGAGTCAAGCTACACCGTGATCGTCTCTAAGAACAAGAAAATCGGTTTAACTGATGAACCTGTGATAACTGATTCTTTCAAGGCGGGTGAACCGGGAAAAATCGTCATCACGATTGATAACCAGACGTTTAAGAAGAAGAAGGTGATCTACAGGTTCAAAACCCAAGCATAAGACAATGTGCCCCATCTTCAAAAGAAAAATGGTTATTCGGGACAAACTTTAATAATTAAAATTAGTTTATTTATTTATGTACTTTTTGAAACCTCAAAAGGGGATTGTGTTTTGTTGATGGTGTTTGGTGATATTTTTTTGTGTGTTAATGGTTTTTATAATATATACAAATTTGTGTGTGACGAGATGTGATTACTTGACCATTTTCTTTTGTTTCAATAATATTTGATACATTACTTGACAATTTGTGTCAAATTTGAAATTACATTTGTGTGTTTCAAGTTCAAGAATCGGTCTCGCATCTGCAAGTAATTACGTGAATCAAGTGTTTCAGACTGGTTTTGATTATACATTCCTAAATCATATGTTTTTTATGGAGTAGGGTAGACTAATCAATTTTGGCTCATAAAGTACTAACTAGCTAGAGATTTATGTTTATGGTTTAGCACTTATGGCTTATGATTTAGTATTTGTGGCCTAAGGTTTAATTTTCTCATGCTATATATCTTTTTATATTTACTATACATTAATAAGTTTAATTCACCGATCTTTAATTTGGGTTTATAATTTATAGTTTAGGATTTAGATTTAGAATTTGGATTCTGATTTAGAATCTGCGTTTTAAGTTTTAAGGTTTAGTTTAAAATGTATTTATACTGAAATAAAGTACAGAAAACAATTTAACACAGAAGCACTAAAAATATTAGGATTGCAAAACGACACCTCCAAGAACTTGAAACATGAATGACCACACTGAAAACGATACGAGAAGCCCTAACATAAACACACACAAATGAGATATTAGTAGTTGAAAGATGAATTACTCGTTCAAATGTCTCATATAACAGGTGAAGCCATCATAGTAGCTACAAATAAAATTATTTCCAGATTTCATTTACCTATGGTTAGAGACAGGATCGGTCGTAGATCAAGCCTGTTGAAACATTCGTCTCAAGCTCTCGAAAATTTTGAATTTTTATACATATATAAGCCCCCAAAATTTTTTTTAAGAGCATGTTCAACTGCAAACACGCTGACCCATCCAATATTTTAATTTTTTTATTATTATTTTTTACCTGATTTAAAATATATATATAAATGAACCAATCGCGGACTACCACGTGTCGATGGGGTATGCGTACAGTTCAAAACACGTCCCTTAATGGGGTTCCAAAGGAGGTGTGGCTTAATTATTAAGTGAGACCCACATCATTTTTATTCTTTTATTTTAAGGAACATACGTGGAGGCACCATTGAACATGCTCTAAAGCTTCCAAATTAGTTAGAAAAAGAATTTAGCTGAATTTTTTTAAAAATCACCTAAGATCCCCAAAATCTCAGAGCCGACCCTAGTAATTACAGATTCTTAAGATCAAATGCATTTTAGATGTTTACCTCTAATTTCACATTCTGAGTATGGCATTTAGGGTACTGTCTATGGCTTTTGATCTAACTACAAATGCCTGATTTGAATGTAAAAAAATAAAAATTAAAAAATAACCAATTGCAAATCGCCACATGATAATAAGACCCGTGGACACTACAAGAATTCTATCAAACTCACCTCTTGCAGAAAAGGAAGAAGGGATGAATTTTAACAAAATTGTGGTCCCCATTTCTTAAGAATCCACCTAAGAAGTGGGGATAAAGATGCTTTTAGTGTCGTGATTAGGCTAGCTGGCTGATAAATGATTCGAACAAAGAAACGAAGAACAGTGGTCGAGTAAGAAGAGCTTAAACTTGAACAGTTTAGGGCTTGGGTTTTCCTAACCTCTCAAAGCGTAAAAGGGTACCAAATGGTTGACGACCCCTAGCATGGTACACCTCACTCCCATTTTATATTAGTCTATCAGTGCGTTACACCTCACTCCCGTTACATAGTTACTAGGTACTGCTTAGAAGTAAAAACAGTTTTGTCAATGTGTACGCAGATTGTAAAAGGTGTGCCATTAATTAAAAGTAACAAATCCAGTCATGTTCAACGTAGGTTATACTTGCACATTCAAATTCAGTATTTGCGGCCATTAATAATTTTTTTTACAAGTGTAGCATATTAATTAAGAAACAATTACTCTGGACTTGTTTAGGCGTCCTTCTAGCCTTTGCTTTGGCCAAACATATCCATTTACAGTTATAAATTTTTTATATAGTTTTTAGAAAATATTCTGCTAAAAGTTGTTTCACATATCACAACTTTGAGCACTTGATCCCATCTGAACTAAAAAAAATATTGTCACTAACGCAAATTCACTTGTATTCGATCGGATGTAGCTGATACTCAGTGCAATTTACGTACCCCATCAGCCTAATAGATATCATTCCGAAAGTTGATCCCTCATTCTCAGACTATATTCATATAAGAGCAGCTCCTAAAGTTTCTGTATGAATATCTGATCTTTAAAAGAAAATGAAAATAGCTAAAACAATAGGAAAGAGAAAGTAAAAATTTCTGAAAACAGATCTACCAAGATACTTTCAAAAAGCAGTATGCACACAGCTGGTGTTTTATGATTGATTAAAATAGGAAATAAAAATAAAAACTAATGTAAAACTATATTACTATTTAAAATAATATTTTTTTGCCACACGTTAATTAGAAAACTTAGGATAAAACAGAAACATCTTTTTCATGCAGCAGTAGTATTGAATTTCTTGAATAATAAAAAATATTAGAAGGAAAACATATACAGTAATACTTCTATAGATTAATAATGGCGGAAATTTTCAATTTTATTAGTTTATAAAGATATTAATTTATAAAAAATTCTTATTTAGATTTTTTCTATTTTTCCATTTTATATATATAGTAAAATATATATTTGATTTTAGCGTATGTATATTATTTACAATTTAGAAATTTTATAAACTAATAAAAATTGAAAATTTTATATAATATTTATGTTTCATATAGTTGTTAAACTAATAAAATTGAAAATTTCCGATCCTGTCTGTATATTATTTACGATTTAGAAATTTTATAAACTAATAATAAAAATACTAATATGTTATGTGGTTTTTTATATAATTTAACTACATATTATCAAAATATATCAGTATTTTTACTGTAAATATAAAACCAATAATATAATGTTAGATTATACTTATATAAAATTATATATATATATATATATAGATCACTAATTTAAGATTTTAATGGGACTATATATTTACATGAAAATTTTAAAAATATTATTATCTTATTATTTTATCGATTTGTGTCATATTTTACACCGGCCCAAGTTGGGACCGATGAAATTTATTAATTTATTGAGTATTAATTTATAGACTTTCTACTGTATACGGTGTTTACTCTTCTCAAATTTCTCAAGAGTCCAATTTTTTTAAAATACATATACACAGGACTCGCATCACCAGCAGTGCCGCTCGTGACGGAAGCGAAAGAAGCGAACGCTTGCGGCCGTGCATTTTATAACTAACTTTCGGCCACATTTTGCAAATATTTTATGTAGTGTAGTGGTAGTTATAGAGAATCCACACCTCCTTTAGAGTTTGGTTCAAGCAGAAGTGACTACAATTCTTTCTTTTATTTTTTTTCCTTTTAAAAGTGTCCACATTTTTTTTTTTGCTTCTAGTCTTTACAATTCTAGGACCGGCTCTGATCACCGGATCTAAGGTAAGAACGTTCACCAACATTGTTTTTTCCATTGAATAACCGATCAAACGGTGACCTTATTGCTAGAAGCAAAGTTTTGGGTGTGCCAGCACGCTCTTGATAACTATCTCCCCCGTTGATAACACCACTGGGAGACCTAATCGAGCTGGTCGGTACGGAGGAGTTATAAAAAACGGTCTGCGGTCAAACCGATGGTCTTGATCAAACCGTTCAAAGTAGAAATAGTTTCTTTCGTTCCTTAGGCTTCCGGTTATGTACCCTCGTATCGAGCTCCTCACTTGAGGTAGCACAACGTGGCCTGTTGACCCTTGGTTCACGAGCTGGTCGTGTATCTTCTGCGGTAATCTTAGTGTGAAAACTTGGCACCGGTTACGAGATCGCAAATATAACATAATAGTTTTTTGGGTCTTCGTTGATCATTTCTGCTTATCCCACTGGAAGACAGGAAAAGCTAGCATCTCTCTTTCCTAAGGCTTAAGGCGTTTCTCGAGATTATTAACCAGTTCTCAACCTTTGTTAGTTGTTATCGTAACCAAAAACGAGTCTTATACTTTTAAAAGGGAAAAACCAAAAACCGGACCAAAACCAAAATGTCTAGGCCTAATTCGAGGCATCACCCGAGATCCAGGTATTCAAATAATCCGAAAAATTACATGTATTAGTTATATTTTTGGATAGGAATTCAATTTATTATTTTAGATATATGTTGTTGGATTTTTGAATTTTTTTTGATCCATTATGATAATTTCCAAGTTTTTCATATAGATTTTCGGTATTTCACTTAATAAATATCTGAAATGGATCATAACTAAAAAGTTGGAAATTAATTAATTCTGAAAACTGGGAATCACATCAAAACCAAACTATTTATGGAAATTAATTAATTCTGGATTTTGGGTGTTGGTTAAGGCGGTTAAGGTTTAGTAGGTTTTAGATTTTCGGATTCAGTTCAGATTGAATTCAAATTCAGATATTCAGTTCTAATCGGATTTCAGCTACCCAAAAAATTATATGAGAATTGAAAATATATACTTTGGTTGACAAACTAGGCAAATTTAAACAATTTGCACTAACAAAATATTGGTGACAAGATTCAGAAATGACTAGTAAGAAAACAAAATAGAGAGTACTATAGTTAAAATGAGTAAAACATTCTAAATAAGTTTGAGTTGGGTTGGTAAAACCTAAAATCTGAAATCTGAAATATTACAATGGAACCTCTATAATTAATAATGTTGAACTTTAGAATTTTACTAATTTATAGAGATGTAGTGTGTTCTTTTTTTTATTAACTTAAAATATTTTGATATGTAGTGTGTTGTTTTGTTTTGGAACACGAGAGGTAGTGTGTTCATATAATGTTTTCTACACTTGCAAAACCATCTTTGTAAACTTTTTAAAATATGTTTTTACATATGCCCATGTGTACACTATGTTTTTTTTACATGATGTTCATGTGTACACTATCTTTTTCGTGTACACGGTCTTATTTGCACGATGTCTATGTGTACATTGTCTTTTTTTTACACGATGTCCATGTGTACACCATCTTTGTGTTGTACACTATCTTTTTTACAGTTGTCCATGTGTACACTATCTTTATTTTGTACACTATGTTTTTCTTACATGATGTTCATGTGTACATTATTTTTGTCGTGGACATGGTCTTTTTTGCAGTCCTTTTTTACACAATGTCTATGTGTACACTGTCTTTTTACACAATGTCTACTAGATCATAATCCGCCCGACTGGGCGGGTCTTTATTTTTATGGTATGTATAGTATATTGTTTAAACATAGTATTTCATCACTGTATTGTGTAACAGGACGTCCGTAAAATGTTGTGACCCGTAAATATTTTAGTGATATTTTATGAAGTTTTTTTGACTAAATTTGGTGCAAAGTTATATACACTAAACAATTTAGTCAAATTTTTAAGATTATTTTTTAATGAAGAATTGGAAAGCTAGTATATTACTGTTAAAAACTTATAACAATACTATTTATAAATTATATAAATAAAATATATATTATTCTTGATTTATTCCAAATACATTTAAAACACAAGTACATATATGTATAAATAATTTTCAAAAACAATAATAATTGTATTTTGGGCCGCAGTAATTTTAAGGTTAATAAGTAAGGCCATTAGATTTGTAGACTATCCTTGTTTCCAATCATTATATTTTAAATACTTCCTATTCATGTTTCCAAACACTTAATTTTTTGTACTTCAGCTTTAATAGTATAGATGTGTACACTGTCTTTTTTACACAATGTTAAGCTATAAGAATTTGACAGTGTGATAATTAAACTACTATGTATTACTTTTACAACAAAAACACTAGTAATGGCCTCAAAATATACACGTGGATTATACCTGCGAGCTGGAATCTACTCTTCTACGATCTGCTGGCAATCCAATGCCTCGTTTGGGGTGCTCAGATAGAAGAACAGTGATTGTGTTAGTTTGTCATATCTCCATGTATGTTAACAAGTTGTTGCTGGTTCAATAAACAAATGTTTGTACGTATCATGATAATAGTGTAACGAAGATTGAGTTTTTTTATCTATCAAGTGGCTAAGGCTTTTGAAAAATCACAAGTCAAAGCTAACTAATGTTGAGGTTCTACACTTCTACTTTTCCAGTGATTGTAACTTTTTTTGCTTCGGTTCAGGTTCTTTGGATTCCTTGCTCAAAAGGACACAAACTTATTACTGCTAAATGTAGAATTTTATCTGTTTCTTGTTTTTTTTTTTTTTGACAAACAACATTGGGGGGCTGGTCTTGTGGCTTCCTTAACTATTGCTACTGTTCATGTTAAGTTTTTTACTTAGAGCCATGATGAGGTACTGAATCCTATAAATGATGAATGTTTTGATTAAGAATTGATTATGTGTAGCAGCAGTGATAGATAAACACAAGCCATTCAAATCAGAAAGAAACTCAGAATGTACGGTTTCACGTTTGGTACTTTGCTCAAACTAGGCCTGGGCGTTCGGTGGCCCAATAGGTTTCGGTTCGGTTGATTCGGATTTTCGGATTTTCGGTACTGTGCTCATAAGTACCATTCGGTTTTTGTTAATAATCGGATCGGGTTCGGTTCGGTTCCTTCCGGGTTCGGTTCGGATCGGATTATAACCAATGTCTGAAATCGTCCAAAAATATTTTTTTAAAACCTAAAAATTTGACAAAATAGTATTCAAAATATGTAAATTATTCACAAGTATAATTAAAAATTAGTTAAACTATCTAAATTAGCTAAGATATATTCAAAATAACATATAACATAGACTATGAATATATTTATAATATTATAAACTATCTAAATTACCTTAACATATATAAAATATTAACATATTTAACTAATTTCGGATACCTTCGGATCCTACCTCGGATTTTGGTTCGGTTCGGGTTATACCCAAAGTCCGAAGTACTAGACTCATAAGTCCCGTTCGGTTAGTTTTGTATAATGGTTTGGATTCGGGTTCGGTTTCTTCGGTTCGGGTTTAGGTTGGTACTTCGGGTTGGGGTAAAAACGCCCAGGCCTAGCTCAAACAATACATGTCTCAAAAGGGCAAAAGAAACACAACTTGGTGCTGTTTCAAAGAGATTGGCTAAACAAAAAGCGTCCACATAGACTACTAATATCCATGTTCCTTCCTAAGACGCCTTCACTCAAAACCTCCCACGCTGCATAGCATTTCTGCATAGACTTAGTTATAAACCGAGTCAACCAAACACAGTATGGAGCTACACCATGAACCCAACAATCTCCTCTACTTTCAAAATCCTTCCTCTCCAAACCTCATGGAAAACAATATCAAACGTGATTCTATTAGGATGAAAAACTGATCCTTTACAAAGCATTTCGTCGAGCACCTTGAATGCATCATCCACTCTCCTATTCCTAAACAACACATTGATCAAAACGTTACGAACTTGCGTGTTCTTCTTCACACTCGAATCGATTGCTTCACCATATACCCATACGTGAAAACCATCTGATGAGAAGCTTAGTGGCGACGATAGAGGATGTTCCTCTCTTTGGCAGTCTCGTAAATACTAAGAAGCTTATCCTTTGCGTCGGGTTCACTACCGGCGATTCTCTAATAACCAGACTTCCACTGATTCCTGGCTCTCCGGTTTGATGATTCCGGGAGGTGGGTCCGCATCAGCGGAGAATCTACGGGGAGGAGGGGATAGTTGAGGAGATTGTAGGAGCTCCGGCGCCGGAAAGTGATAGCAAAGTATTCATCTTTCCAAAGGTTTTGAAGAAGACGACGGCCGCCGGGAGGAAGTGGAGACAGACTAACTCTAATCGGCGGGTTTGATTGGCACTCTAATGGGCTTTAGTGAGATCTTTGAATATAGTGGACTCAAAAAGGATTATTGCATTATTATTCCCAAACAAAAAAAAAAAAGATTATGAGGACAAATCTTTATTTGTTTCATAATAGCTGTCACTTATTTTAACTAATCGTTGATACAACCCTGCAGTAACTCGTATCAAATGCTACCCTTCAAAACTTCTAACAAGTCCAATTAGAGGGCTTTTATTTGTTCTAACCATTGCTCAAAATGAAGAGCCTGGGGGAGTTAAGAGAGTTTTCACAGCTTTGTTAACAGTTTATCAGATTATGTATTTTTTTTACCTATGTTTAAAATGTCCTTATTAGACAAAACAAGAAGCATATTCAACTATACATAGAAAAAAATATATGTTAATTAAATTAATCATACAACTTTTTTAACACCAATTAATCATATCATATATTCCAAAAGAGTATATGTATTTTTATGAATTTTAAAATCTTTTTAGACAAAAAAAAAGAAGAAGCATATTTATCTATACATAGAAAAAAAAATATTTTAAATTAATTATACCATATAGTCAAAAAAAAATATATGTCTTTTTATGAATTTCCAAAGCTCATTAGACAAAAAAGAAAGCATATTTAACTACATAACACACATCAATTTCCCATTTAGCAAAATCAGCAACTGTGCGACTTATAGTTATTAGACAAGCAATTAAGGCGCAAAACAAAAAAAAAGTGTTTAGGCGGGTACAAAACTGCATATTACTACTATTTGTTGAGAACGATTAAATCTCTGGATCCCATCCTAGCTTAAGTGAGTCCGGTCCGCCAGTGTCTGAAACCATCAATTCCTCGTCCAGTTTAAACCAATCAATCTGTGGAACACTGGACAATTCGGCCTCGCGGCATGATCGCTTTTCTTCAAGTTTGTTCTTTACAGCTGGGAAGTCTGAAGTTTCTCCTCCAACTATTGTTTTAGTAAATCTATTTTCCATCAATATAATTTATACGAATCCAATTCGATTGATTTTTAGATTCTGCTTCCATTTGTTCGTTTAACATATGGA